TTTGAAAAATTGTTTTTGCAAATATCTCAAAAAAAAAAAATCAGTTCTAACCCGTGTTTTCCTAGAACAGCCCCCATTTGTTCTTATAAAAAAATTTTTTTTTGTATGGCAAAGAAATTATTGACACAACTAGTATTATAAACCTTTTTTTGCGAACTTATTCCCTGTAAAGCGATGGATCATATGAAGGCTTAAAGTATTTTACACTTTCTTGGCCACTATCAAGTCTTTTAAAGCAATAATCTCAGCTTTGAAGTGAAAAAGTAATACTATTTTTTGAATAGCCATGGATTTAACAATTGTTGTAATTCTTCACAGCATTGTTGGAATCTTTGCAGCGTTTGTTGTATGATCGTTGTAATTATTCGCGGCATTGTTGAAATCTTTTGTTGTGGAAAATTGCAACATTGCTGATACCTTTTGTGCCATAAAAAATGATTGAAAATAAACGGATTCGAAATTTATATGCGAGATGTCAAGAAGAACCTTCCGAGTTGATCTTTGAAGAATAAATTTATGGTTCATTGATGACTGTCGGTTGCGATGTTTTCTCAATGGTGTCACGTACTTGTTTGACAATGCCATGGAATTTTGAGAGTCAATTTCTTGACTTCTCACTGGAAAGTTTTTATTGCTTGCTTTGTAATTTTGAAATTTAACATGTCTTGGAACAAAGTTCCAAAAACTAAACTTTTTATCGTTAAAACCAAATAAATACAAGGCGTACAAACACCTGAATCAATAGATATGTATTACTAAACAATTTACTTTGTTTCATTTCCTATCGTTGATAATAATTTCTGGGACCATTCTTTGATACGTTATTATACCAAGGTGTGAAGGCTGACGCAGTTTTAGTTAACTTCTGAATTGTTAATTTTGACATTGGTGCATCTGGGATGGTTGTTAATAAGGTAAGGAATTTATTGGTCAAATTTTGCTTGTTTATATGTTTGCACGAAGGTATTCGGCAATATATATTCCTTCTTTATGATTCGGATCTTTAAAGAATATAATATTCATTCGGAGTGGCAATTCATTAAACATTTGATTTGAATCGGAAGGATTTGGTTTGAAAATATGATTGAATTTTAACATCCTTTTGTTTTATATACGCATTATTGTAAATTACCAAAACATTAATTTAATGCTTTTTCGCGCATAAATCAATTGACAATTAAAGAAATTCTTACATTTTCGGCGAATAATATTCCTGAACAATTACTAAATAAATTAATCCAGGTAATAAATAATATAAATAACATTTTTTAAATATTATACTTATTTATAATAATCGAGACCAATTGAGATATTATGCAATGGTAGAGAGATTAAATCACAAGTTTCTGATAACCAAGAATGATTTGGTGATTTGTCATAGAATAAGAGATTTTGAATATCAAAATATGTGGCAAACCTTTAATATCGGATCATTTTATAATATTAATGCAATTTCTAGAAATGTTCAAGAAAAAGCATAGAAACCAACAGGAAACAAAATTACACATAAATTTGTACTGTTCTCGGAATTTGGGAATTTAATGTATAATATTTTTTTATTTATTATGCATTCATTCTTGGTAAATAAAATAATAAATTTGTACCATTATTTAATTCTGCTGAAACTTTCAAAGGACTATTTTTTTTATAAGCTGTTATTCACCCCCAAAAAATAGGATTGATTAATTTGATTGATTGGTGAATAAATAGGAAGGAGGGTTTTTTTAAAATAATGATAATCATAAAACTTACAAACTATGGTATTATATTCTAAATTCACCAGAGACTCAATAATATTGTAGAATGATTTAGAATCCACCGTTACAATATCTAAATGTTTAGTTAATTGATTTAATTGATGCAATTAATAAATATAATAATAAAATAAACTATTATCATTTATATTATTATTACCTAAATCATTGGTATTATCTGTACTAGTATTAACATTGCTGTTGTCGTTATCATTGTTAAGGCTTATAATATTACAATCAATTATTAATTTATTTTCAATATACTCATTTGATGATTTAATTGCCAATTCATTATTTTCATGTATTGATAACTTAGAATATTTAGATAAATTCCTAATTTCCATTCCATCACTACTTATTAATTTCAAATCATAATAGTTTACTTCTATACCAATCTTATTATCAAGAATATATAACATGTATATATTAATTAATTAATTCATTAATTAATACAAGAATAATATGTTATATTCACATTTTTATTGAAAACTACTTACGTTCGACTCATCAATGACTGGTCTGCTAAAAGTTCTAGAATCTATAATTCTGACTGGGATATTGTAATCAATTCCCTAATATATATATATATATATATATATATAACATATATAAATATTTAAAAATATAAAAAAAAAAAAAATCAAAATTATATTAAATAATATATTTCCTTCTCTTATTCTGTTATTTTATACAATATAATTTAAATTAACTTGAATACGATCAACAAATTGAATAATATATTCATTCGTTGACGCTGTAAAACAAAGTTTCATTGTTATTCGGTTGTTAAATTGATTCGTTTTTCCCAGCAATTCTAATAAAGATGCAAATGTTTCCAAATTCTCAAAAAGCAAATGACATTCATCACTAAAAGTGCAATTAATTGATGAAATAAATGAATGGCTTCTTTCAGTTGTTAAAATCTTTCTAAATATTAAAAAAAATGTGTGTTTCTTATTAGTGTAAATAAATAATATAATTTTAATCATATATGTATATATATAACATGTAAATGATTATAAATCCATACATTTGTATATAAACACTAGTATGTGTAATATCTACACTTGACATATACAATCTACCAGTGCTGCAATTCATTAAAAGCGTCTTTTTATCAAATCGAATAAAATTATTATTAACAAGATCTAAAATTTATTATTATTAATAGTAGAAGTGATGATAACAGTAATAATAGTAATGTTAAAGCTAATAATTACAAAATCAATATTATAAATAATAATAAGATACATGCGATAAAATTCGTTTATGTTGGTAAAAACCACTTCCATGATAATAGTTGTTGATTTATCGATATTCAAAATTTAAAGATCCACGTTACACTGGCACAACAAAAAAATGATTTACTCCAACAAATTCTAATTCCGATCAACAATATATTGATTACCCTTTACGCTCTTTATAAATGGCAAAACACAAATACACCAATCAATTGGTCAGTCATACAGTCAAATCTTGTCACAGCAGATAAACGAGACACATATAAAATCCGTTGTGACAAGGTTTGACTGGACTGCATACAGAATTTTGTTTAAAATTCTTCCATTATTTAATTATCACCGAAAATAATATCTCACACTTACCATGGCTCATTATTCACGTCCCAAATTTGAAATTCTCCACAACATATTACCCACAATAAAAACTTAATACGTGACTATAAATTCTACTCCCGCCCAGCATTAATTGTCTACCGAAAATACCACTCATCTATTTTCCTTCCAAGCTAACTCACGATTCCATGGCCAACAATCCAATACTCAAATCTTAAATTGGCGCACATTTTCCAAAATCATACAAACTAGACAACTACTACAACCTCTATTCCAATCTAACTTCAACCATACACCGCCTGTAATTCTTGAAGCTGGAGTATTCCATCAACTCTAATCAACTTTTTATATCTAAATATTTAATTTTCATAAAAAAACTTTCTCGTCTGCGGTTTGATAAATTTTTGCTATAAGAATATTTGGTTACCACGGTGTATTTTATTTAACTCATGATTAAAGTAAATCTAATGTTGTTGTTTGACGAAATGTCATCAAAGCTGTAAAAATATCGCGCCAAATTCGCAGCCATTAAGTCAAAAATGACGCAAGTAAAATTGCTTTAAAGGCTAATAAAATATGAAAGCTCACAAAAAACATGCAAATATATATTCCAAGGTCTTCTATTCAATTTCTTATTTTTATATTTTTGTTATGTATCCCAATCTAAAGGAGCTAAATTCTTCTTTACTATTCCTTATATTATTAATATTAAATCAAGGTCAACTAATTTTAGTATTAGTGTAGACTAAAATTATACATAATAATAATTATCAAATGAAAATTTACGCAAAAGCTTTATCAAATGGAAGTTTTTATAATATCAACATACATTGATTAAGTTACTTTGCAATAATAAAAACCATCTTTATCTTTATCCTTATTGTAATAATAGATAACTAACATTCATAGAAGCCCTTCTTGAGCTTTGTAAAAGAGCCATTTTATTTATTTACAGTTATTCGGTACCATCAAGTGTCCTTATAGATTCATCGAAGCTTTTTAGGTACAAGCAAGCAAGAACTAATTAATTGACAAGTACTGAATTATTGTGAGTTGCTTGTTTAACAAGAATCAGAAAACTGTAAAAAGTTTATTTATTATTATTATTATAATTTAGCTTTGAGAAATGAAATAAAAATTAAAATAAAAAAATAAATAATTATATATAACAAATAAATTTATAGTGGAGATTAAATTAGTCATTCATCATCCGTTACTAGAATCTAATGTTTATTAATTAATCAATCAAATTGTTGGTAATAATTAATGGATAGTAATTCCAACTAATTAATAATAAATTTTTATTCACCTTCAGCATTTAAGTGAAGAGAGTTAAAATCAAGATTATTTAATGAGATATCATTACTTATATAACCTTTAAAGCTTTTATATCTAGCAATCTCCACATCTAGTATTCTACTTGTATGGTATGCATCTGGATGTGATTTGTGTACTTGTTGCAAATCATCATCGCCACCACCACCACCACCACCATTGCTGCTACCACGATCTTTAATTTTAGATAATCTTTTTATTAAACTATTGTTGTTACTATTATTTTTCAAACTTTCAGCTGTATGAATTTCTTTCAACTTTTTTTCAGCAAAGATAAAAAGCTCCCAGCTAGTGGGTCTTTTTGATGAATCTTCATCCCAACATTTCTGTATCATTTGTGCATAATCATCAGGCATTCCAGGCAATATTTGTGGTCGTAAACCTTCACATATATCAAAAATTAAACTATGGTCATGAGCTCTATCATCAAATGGTGGATAGCCTGCAAATATTTCCCACATTAACATCCCAACACTATAAATATCTGTTTCTTTTGTGTTTTTTGCATTAATTTTGCCACTCAGTAGCTCAGGTGCAACATATGATATAATTCCATAGATTTTATTTGATGATTTTTCATCAACTGATCCACATAATCCTAAATCTGTAATATAACAACCACCTCCACTTATTAATATATTACCACTGTGTAAATCACAATGAATCAAATCTTTTTCATGTATATGATATAATGCTTCACATAAATAATAAAAGATTGTAATTCTATTTTTTAATGTTAAATTTAAATGATTTTTTTGCAAATAGCTCCTTAAATTTCCTTCCGATAAATAATTTAAAACTATTGCATAGTTTCCATTATCTGGGAATTTAGTTATGCCATAGCAAGAAACAATTAAATTTGTTTTAATTTTACAATAATTCATTGCCTGAAAATAAATATAAAACCAATTAATTAGTTATATAATACAGTATTGTTGTAAATGAAAACTACAAACCTCATTAAAAAAGGTTTTTCCTGGACTACTTGAATTATTTAAATTTTTTAATACTACCAGTTGCCTTCCAAAATAACTAAACTCCTTTTTATTTTCATCATAATCAATTATATAACCTCTTGTCCATGTAGCTGTATAAATTGAACTAAATCCACCTTCAGTTAATTTTGTTACTTTTTCAAATTGCTCAAAAGGTATCCATTCTAAAATACAAGTTGGCAAGGATGATTTCATTTGACATTGTTGAATGAAATCATCAATTATGTTATTTTCAGATGTCCAAGTGGCAAAAAGTCTCTGTAATTGTAAACCAATGCAACTTATACAGAATCTATCAGAGTATCTTATTGATTTACACTCATTACATTCTTTTGGTTTGCCCTTTTTATTCCTTGCATTTTCTAATTCAAAATAATAAATAAAGTATTCTTTACAATATTCTTTTTCATTTCCAGAAAGCTCCTTGTTTTTTTTGACCAATGAAAAAAAATAATCTTTTCTACTTTCTCTATCAGCATTAACCAGAGCATCATTATTTATTTCATTATTAATTTTAAATACAAGTTTCCTTCTTTCTGATGATAATAATTTGTTAAATGACATTATATAAAAATTTATTTAAAATTTGACTTAGTGTTTAATGAATAGAATGATTTTTTTTTTTAGTATTAGAAAGAATAACACTAGTTCGTTTTATTTATTACATTTAAAGAATTTCCTTTTACAAACAATTGATGTCACAGATCATGATGGAAGTTCTATTTGCCATGTTTATCACTTGTGACGATCTCAAATTTATGTTGTGTGACTATATAATTTTAAAGTACTTCGGTATAATAAAAATAAGTTTTACAATTGCACAAAAAATTATTTACATAATAATTATACTCATACCATCTCTAATGAAATAATTTTCACAGATTTTTACTAGAAGCAAAAGATATTTTAAATAGTAACTTGCTTTATTAAAAAAACAACTTTTTACAATACAATCTAAAGTTGCTTGCCAAAACCTCATAGTGACTGTTGAAACTCTAATGAACAATTAATATATGCCTTGTCAAAATTTTGACGATTTACAAAACCCCCAAATGCAAAACTCTGCCAAAACTTTAAGAAACAATTGATGTGTAACCTGTTGAAGTTCCATCTATTGATTTCTGGAAGAGTTTCGCTCACAACCTTAATACAATCACAGATGAGACTCTAACATTAGATGTAAAACCAAGCATAGATTCTTGTTTAAACATGTGCCATCTCTAATACGTTAATACCTGTAGAGTTTACTAAAAAGGTATTTCTTATGATATTATTAAACTATTTTTATATACAATTTAATTACAGATGATTCATATCCATTTATTAGTACTTGTTTTTATTAATAGTTATATGGGCATGCTGCAACAAAACCAGACAAAGTGAACATTGTAATTGGTATATATTACCAAGAATTTCAGGGGTCAAATTTAGTCATTTGTAACGTGATATCCCATTTTCTATCTTGGTGATGCAATTATTTGTTATGTCAATTACAACATAAAATGTATTGAATAATCAGATATTCATGTACAAGTATTAATAACAACAAAAAAG